TTTGTGTTATGTATATTTTACCACAACTTAAGCAGTGAAGCAAGAAACACAAAATCCTCCTGACAAATCAGGCCATAGGGAGAACTAGAAATTGTATGTAAAATAAAGATATGCAACTAGAGAGCTATGGTAATATAACTTTCCTCAGTTTCTCAAAATATTCAGCGACCTTAAAAATATTTGAATTACCACTACGAAATAAAAAAATATAAAAATATTTGAGTTAAACCTACGAAATGAGAAAAACAAATATAAAAATGTTAATCAGATTTTATAAAACTGTATTCCCAGCATGTCCCTATCAATATAGAACCAATATAGTTACATCCAAGCTCTGTACATGTTAAATCCTCAAAGAGCCATTGCCGGTTTGGCTCAGTGGATAGAGCATTGGCCTGCGGACTAAAGGGTCCCAGGTTCAATTCTGGTCAAGGTCACTTACCTTGGTTACAGGCTCAATCCCCAGTAGAGACAGTGCAGAAGGCAGCCAATCGATGATGTTCCTCTCTCATCGATGTTTCTATCCCTCTCCCTTCTTCTCTCTTTAAAAATAAATAAAAATATATTTTTTAAATCCTCAAATAAACTTCTATTAACATAAAATAAGTACCACTACTTGATGACAACTGTCCAGTACAGCTCTCACAAATTTAATACAGTATATTAAACATGAATAAAAGAATAAAGGAGTAACTTCTACAAGTCTGTTTGAAATAGAAAATTAAATGAACCAACAAAACTGAAGCAGATTATAGCATATTTTTCAAGGCAGGTAGGTAAGGAGGCAATGTCTATAATAATAAACATTCTAAGTTAAATATGTACTAGGAATGCATATGTCACACTAACCAGGGAACTACTATGTTAGTTTCTATAACGCATATAATTTAAAGCAGTATCCCAAACTACACCCACAAAAGCCTACAAAAGGAAAACACTGACTACACAAAAAAAATGTAAGACATCAGTATAGTAAAAGATAAAAAACAAAATTTAATAGGCAAATAGACTGAAAATATTTGCCACATATCTAAGTCAAAATAGGTGAACATCTCTATACAAAACTCTTACAAATCAGTAAGGAAAACACAAAATTCAATAGGGAATAAACAAATTATATAAACTATTTCTTCCGGCTTCATTTTCAAATCTCATAATGCTGTACACATATTCTTTATGGCTTTTTCCTGGGCCTGGTCTTCTACACACAGCAGTTATTGTTCAACTTACTCACTGAATTGCCCCCACAGACCTTAACCATGGTCTTCAGAGAGAGTAAATATTAACCTCACATGCTTTTCATTTAAAGGAACTATAGCATAATCTACAAGGCTTTCATATATCTGATAAGGGACTTACATCTAGAATATATATGCCCAGCCAATGTGGCTCAGTGGTTACGCATTGACTTATGAACCAGGAGGTCACAGGTTTGATTCCAGTCAGGGCACATGCCAGGGTTGTGGGCTGGATCCCCTGTGGGTGGCATGCAGGAGGCAGCCAACCAATGATTCTTTTTCAACATTGATGTTTCTATCTCTCTCTCCCTCTCCCTTCTTCTCTGAAATCAATAAAAATATAATTTAAAAAAACACTCTAGAATATATAAAGAATTCTTACAATTCAATGATGAAAAGAATAATAACCTGATTAAAACTGAACGAAGGATATAAACAGACATTTGTCCAAAGATATACAAATGGACAATAAGCACATGAAAAGATGTTCAACATCACTGGCTACCAGAGAAATGCACATCAAAACCACCAGACACAGCTCACCCCCAGGAGGATGGCTAGAATAAAAAAGACAACTACTGACAAGTGCTGACAAGGATGTGGAGAAATCAGAACCAGCATACACTGCTGATGGGAATATAAATGGTGCAGCGGCTCTAGAAAACAGTCTGGCAATTCCTTCAGATGTTAAGACCCGGCAATTCTACTCCTAGGTATATACCCAAGAGAAATGAAGACATGATGCTTGCATTAAAACTTATACATAAACGTTCACAGCAGCGTTATTCATATTAGCCAAAACAATCCTGATGTCCATGAACTGACCGATGGGTAAACGGTGGTATATCCATAAAATGAAATATAATCCAGCAATATAAAGGAATTAAGTAATGATACCTGCTACAACATGGATGACATAAATGTGAAGTGAAAGACAATCAAAAAAGACTAAACATAAAAATATTAAGAAGCCATGCGTGCGCTAGCTCTTTCCTTTTGCCTCGTTGCTACAGAGTGAGCAAGATGGGTCGCCAGCAACTCTACTGGAGCCATCCAAGGAAATTCGGCCAGGATGCTCGTTCTTGCCACATCTGTTCAAACCGCCATGGTCTAATCCGGACGTACAGCCCCAACATGTGTCGCCAGTGTTTCCATCAGTACCCGAAGGACATAGGTTTCACTAAGTTGGACTAAGTGAACTTCCATGAATGGGTTGTTCAAGACATCCACCTTATGACAGAATGCTATCTCTTTGTACATAAAATGATTTTTAAAAAACCTTCAAATATATATTTTAAAAAGAGACCACACGCTGTATGATTTCATTTATATAAATTACCCAGAGTAGGCAATATACAGACAGTAGATTAGTACTTAGGGCCAGGAGTGCAGGGGTTTGGGGAGAAAGTCAGAAGAGACTGCCCATGGATTCAGGGTTTCTTTCGGGGTTAAGAAAATGTTTTAAACTTGATCATGGTGTAAAAGCAGTTGCTATCCCAGAGGAACTGCCTTGTATGTCTTAAGCCTCAAATCTTGGAATATTAAAACAGAGCAAAAGAATCTTTAGATGGGGCGGAAAGCAACATTGTGTCCCAAAGGAACTGTCTGCAAAGATAACAAGAAAGCAGATAGTATGACTACTGGGCTGATGACATCTGAATTGAAAATTTAAAATACTGTTTAGCATTAGCATTGCTATGTTAAGTAATCTGCACCAACAGAAATGCCTTCTTTCTATTGATGTAATTGTTCCCCTTCCCCTTCTCATAAATAACCCTGGGCTTCTACCTGAATGCTTTGGTCACAAATAAATGCTGCTTGCCTCTCACTTCGAAAGGTCTTTATTTTTAGGTTAACGGTGTTGATGGCTTTACCACTTTGTGAATGTATCTTAAAAAAAAAAATCAATGTACATTTTAAATGGGTTAATTCTATGGTATGCGAACTATATCACAATTAAGCTGTTTGTTGCTGTTTTGTTTTGGTTTTTTTTTAAAGAACTGTAGACTGTATTCCCGGCCCCCCCCCCCCCCCCCATTATATCCTCAGCTCCTAAAACAGTGTTTGGCAATGTTAGGCATTCAACAAATTCTGACTAAATGAAAGGGTAAATTTCAAACATGGCTAAACCATGATACAACTCTGTCATATCCAAAGTGATGAGATTACTGCAGGTTGACATGGGGGGAGTAGTGTGTCCGTTTAGGGATGTTTTCCTTGAAGGATGAGACTGAGAAGTTCAGCAGAACCGAGACCTTGAAGGGTGTTCAGCCAGGCTAAGGGCTTTTCATTCACCCGAGTCAATGGGAGTGCCAGCCAAATTCTGCGCAGAGGAACACGGGCTGCTAGTCAGATGCGCGGTTTAAATAGAGCGTTGCTACTTCTACCCAAAGAGAACACCTTGAAGTAGAGCAATGCCCCTCAGGTGAGAATCGGGAGGAGATGGGGAAGACAGACAAGCAAATATCAAAATATAAGATTTTTTAAAAAACATATTTTATTGATTTTAGAGAGGAAGGGAGAGGGAGAGATAGAAACATCAATGATGAGAGAGAATCATTGATTGGCTGCCTCTTGCATGCCCTCTACTGGGGATCAAGCCGAAACCCAGGCATGTGCCCTTGACCAGAATCAAACCTGGGACCCTTCAGTCTGCAGGCTGACGCTCTACCCATTGAGCCAAACCAGCCAGGGCAGATTTTTAATAGATTTTAAAAATTACACTCAGCAGACCGGGCGCGCGCGCGCACACGCACATGCACGAAGACTGACACACATACACATACATGCACGTGCACCGCGCCCTACACTGAAATCATACCGACAGTCAGCCCCTGGATGGCGCTCACGTGTGGTCGGGCAAAAGGTGTTGTGACCATTGGCCAGAAAACTCTACAACTATCTTGGCAGGGACCTTCTCCCCGTGCAACTCAGGACCACCACCGAGTGCCCGGTTACACCTCTCGGGGGACCCAACTCCCCCAACTCTTCACAATGTGCTCCTGGGACCGCACAACTAGATCAGCTACAGGCGCTTCACAACTCGCGGGGGGCGGAGGGGGGGGAGGCCCCCTAGCCGCATCCCCAGGGCGGAACCCTGCCTCCGGCGCCCGGCGCAGCGGAGGGAGCGAGCGACCAGCGGCGGATGACCCTCGAGGGGCCGGGCGCCCTTCAAGCGGCCCGCCCCGCACGCAGCCGCGGCCTCCCGGCTGCCGGAACTAACCTTTCGGGGCGCAGGAGGGACCAGGCTCCTTCTCCCTGGGGTGAATCTAACTTGTCCGGGGCAGAAGGAGCGGGAGGCAGAAGGAGCAGGAGACGGAGAGCAGCAGGGCTGGAGCCGCAGGTGAGGAGGGGGCGGGGCGAGCCTGCGGGCCGCACGCCCCCGGGAGCAGTCGAGACTTCCGGCGGCGCCTCCTCTGGCGGCTAGAGCGTCAGCTGCGGGACGTGCTTGCCCCACGTGGACTAGAGCGACCCCGCCCGGTGGTCCGGCTTCAGCTTCCTAGTGTTGAGGCTCCTGCCAGGAAGGAGTTCGACTCCTCAAAAATCTCCGCTTTTTGTTTTCTGGGTCTGGGCAGGATCGGCTGCCTCCAACATGCCTCCTACTAGGGATGTGCCCTTGGCCGGAGTTGAACCCAGGACCTTTCAGTCCGCAAGCCAACGCTCTATCCATTGAGCAAAACCGGCCAGGGCTCGGCGCGGAGATTTAAGCTGCAGCCTCTCTTGGCTCCTTTCAGGGCTCGCGGGCTTGGCTGACCCCCAAGGACGCGAAGCCACAGGCCACCTGACCCCCGCACTCTGGCCCTGAAATCCATGTTGCTCCTTTCGCTGAGAAAGCTGGCAACAATAAAATTTATCTTATTCACCAATTATTTGCTAAATCCAGGGAATGCACAGGGAAGAAAAAGCTGAAATGGCCCTGGCCAGGTAGCTCAGTTGATTAGAGTGCTGACCCATATGCCAAGGTTGTGGGTTCGATTTCTGGTCAGGGCACATACAAAAATCAACCAATGAATGCATCTCTCTATCTGTCTATCTATCCATCTCTATCTCTATCAAAAATGAATAAATAAATTTTGAAAAATTAGAAAAAAAGAGAAAATACTGGAGTGGTCTCTGTTCTCATGGAATTTACTAGTAAAATAGGTAATAGTATTTACCTCAGAGATTTGTAAAGGATGCAAAGTACTTAGAATAGTGCCTGGTGTCTTGTAAGTGCTCAGTAAACATTAGCTATTATTATTTTCATCTTGATCATTCTGTAACAGAGAATAAAAACTTTATTCTACTCCAACTAACCATGAAACGGAATTAGAATAAAGTGTACTAACAAGCTGATAAAAGGAACTCACACACTGCAGTTTCCTTATAAGCATATTGCAGGCATCAGCAGTTCCAGTTCCTGCTTGTACAAGACAGGGCCATGACTGTGACTTCGGTTGACCCAGCTCCCCCAACGGCAGGAATTGGCTAGCACTGACCAGTTCCATATGCTGACACTACAGATCCATATTGGGACCAGCAAGGACACTGCCACTGATCTCTTTGTTCTGCTTTCCCTCTCCCTCCCTATAAAACCCCTGCCTGCACTGAGATGCTGAGATGGGCTTTGTAACAAGAGTCCCCCATCTTGACATATGTAATACTTTCAACAATAAAGAATAATTTTTAGAAAAAAGAGTCCCCCATCTTCTCAGGTGACCAGTACTTGAATAAACCTTTTTCACCAGTATCTGTCTCACAAGTTTGGTTTTCATGGTGCAGGCAGCTAAACCTTGGTTCCGATTACAGTTCCATGATCATCATAATCGTTGTTATTATCATTTACTTTTTTCGTGTCAAGCTTGAAGTCCAAATACCTTCCCTCCATGAAGCAACGAGCCTCGGGACTGATAGGTCACCTAAATTGTGTTCCAAAACCAGACTAATCCAGTTCACTCTTCAAACCACACACCTATACTAGGAAAAAATTAGATTGCATACACGTACTCTGTGTGGTGTTGATATATTATGCATACTATAAAACTGTCCTAAGATATAGAACTTTAAAAGGATGAGATAAAAATATGAATAGAAGTTCTATTATTTTCTTCCCATGCAACAAATAGGTTTGTCATTGATATATTCCATCACTTTGGAATCTATTGGCTAACTGAGCACATTATCATGGGGGCCTATCATTAAACTATGAATTCCCAGAATAGCTCTTTTACAAAGAAATAATATAAGCTAATCATATTTGAGCTGCTTGAACATAAGGACTATCTGAATGGTGTCTTACATCAGAGGAAATGAAGAAATAAAATAGGTATACACTGAGTAATCTTCATTGATCCAACATTGATGACTGACTTCTTAAATTTCCAAAGATTGCAATGCCTTACAACTAAGTTGATATTTTACAGAATAAATAAACTAACCAAAAGCTTAGGAGGTTTTGTATAGATGTACTTTATAGTATTTATGAAAATGAACCCCAGATCAATTAGCTCTGGTACCATATCAGAAATAGAAACATACTTACTTTGTAGATAAGAAAGCATAAAATAGGTTTTTCTGACCATTTGCTTGAAAACTCTTAATTTACATTTCTATCACTGGACTTTAACCTGCCAAAGTTTTATTTACATTTTTAATATGGTTTAAAAAACACTCCATAGTAAATAATGTTACTATGTGTCTACTCAATATTTATTCCCCTCTGACATCTTTGTAACAAAACCCATTTTTGTTCAGATAGCCACCCTACTCCCAATATCAGAAAATGATACTGATCTCTAAACCAGTCACCATACAGGATTCCTCTGGGAATGACTGGTTATTGGTCAAGGGATAGGCAAGTGATACAATTGGTTTAATCAGACTGAAGGTAAGATCTTCCATTTCATATTGAGGGGACAGTTTCTAACAGATCCTCTTGACATTGAAATGTCTAGCCCGCACTGCCACTGGAAGCCATCATGCCAACCACAAGGAAATAAAGCTGCTTCTGAGGACAACTAAATGAAGTGATGAAGATATTCCAGTCAGAGAAAGACAAGTGCTGTATGATTTCACTTATGTGTGGAATCTAATGAACAAAATAAGCTAACAAAATAGAAACAGACTCATAGATACAGAGAGCAGACTGACAGCTGTCAGATGGGAGGACGGTTGGGGGACTGGGTGAAAAAGGGGAAGGGATTAAGCAAAGAAAA